GCTTTGTTAGCTCCACATTGCGGAAATTCCGGATTATTACTATTATTATTACTATTATTTTGCTTGTCGTATTATAGGAGAATTTACGGTAACTAGCGGTATTTACCGGTAACTAGCTGTATTTACCGGTAGCTTGCGGTAGACTGCGTACAGCGTACCGCAAAATAATGCGGTATCGCCCGCGCATTTTGAATGGGTGCATCTGTAACAGTTTAATGGATTTCAAACTGTACTATACTCTTGTATCTAAAATGCTATAAATCTTTATGGATTTTCCAGATCAAGTTTTTTATTCAGATTTCTTATTACAGGACACAACTGATTATGTTGCATATGTAGCAAAAGACCCTGTTAATCGCAGAGGTAAGGCATTTATTTTACATCAAAATTGGCCCTCATGTTATATGATTCATTCTGTGCATTAGGTTATGCAACACTTGAATATAATTGATAACATTGTGTTGTAGATAGAAATGTCCCAATAAACATACACACATGATTTTGTGAAACTGTTCTGTTACATTGTAAAATGACAAAAACATGGTCATGTGTTTTGTGAACCAAATCATATTTATCAGTTTGTCAGGACAGAACACCCTTTGTAATGCATTTTGTGCACAAAAGTCATTTTGTGGATGAAGTATAGCGTAACGTGCCACATCATATGTATCTGCCATGAAAATTCACATCTTTTTTTGATGAAAAGTCTTTCTTTCTGGGGCAGATTAACCTTCATGGCAATTTTATTTTTAATGCACTTTCATTTCCCGTCTGGCAGTGTGCTGAAATACACAGTGATAAATAACAATGAGTATCCTTGACATACCAAATCCAAACACAAAATTTGTTTTTTACATAATTTAGGGCTGGTCTCGGTCAAGTAAGGTACTGGGATGTTTAGACCATAGTTTGGAAATGTTTTGGGAAAGCTGGACCAACCCGTTGTGTTCAGAGCTACGTATTTTAATATAGCAGGCCTTTGAACAATCTGGAGTCACCCCCAAAGACATAATTCATATCAACAATTTCAGAAGTCATGTTGGTTTTTCATAGGCTGAATTGTGGGGTGAACAGCAGTAGGAAATCAATCAGCGTTGTTTACAAAGTAGAGAAGTGAACAAGATTGTGAAAATGTGCTGGTTACTTTGAATCCTAGTTTTAAAATTAACAAAAAGCTTTAGATGAAATGAAAGACTGAGCCTTCATTGGCTATTACTGCTTATGTTGCCTGACAACATGCATTTGTACTTACCAGTCATCAACAAGAATGGCACCAACCAGATCAGAGTCCCACAGCTCTGGTGGCATTGGAGACTTGCATTCCTCATTTAAATTGTGTTTTGGCTCTCCTCACACTAGACATCTATACTGCTCTTTTAAAAGCTCTTTCAAAGAAGTGCCTTTTGAGCACAGCAGTGCCTCTACTCAATCAATTTAATTAGTGCATTATGAACATAAACCTGCATTTAAATGACCAGTAGTGAGAATTGACCCCTGTTATCTAAAATGCAATTCATTGTCATTGTAAAGAAGTGAGGTCTAATCTCTTAAATGAATCATCTAACAAAACTCTCCATCCGGAATGCAGATGTGTACTGAAAATGATGACATGTGACACTGACATTACAAGAAAACCAAACAGTGGTTCTTCAGGGTGGGATGAGAGGGATTGGTAAAAAAGCCTTCCATTCTAAACAAAACAGACATTTTAAGGAAGCCTGAATTTAGTTTTAAAGTTTAAACACAGTGATAGATTTGCTCATTATATGGGGCTCACACTTGCTAATCTTGGGAATATTTCCATTTCCTGTCCATGCCGGTGGACTGTTGTAATAAAGTCATATCTGAAAGTCACAACTTAGTGACTTAGTAATATCTACTTCAGTGGGAGCACTCCAACCACTCCAACGGGACTCAGACTTTCCTGAGAGGCTTACCATCTGAAAATGCACTAGGCCCAGACTCACCTAGCTTCTAAAATTAAATGCTACACTGAGTTACAAAGCAGTAATTGAAACTAGGAAATGTGGAAAGAAATTATTCAATTTTGCCAACAGACCTATTTTCACAGTACCTTAACACAGACACTGCATGTCCAGTGGGATATTGGTAGAATCACTAGTTTATTATAATTGTATAAGACAAAACAGTACACTCACAATTGTATTCAGATAATTCCTTCATAAACACTATCTAAACAATTACGGGGTTTTTAATTCAGTTTCTGCCAGTGTTTCCTAACTGTCGTCCTGATTATCACTGGAAATGACATTGTAATAAACACTTCTATGAAGAGTTTTGTCATTTATGTCCAGTCAGTTACAGGCAACGTACATGAAAGAGTTGTGAATTCAAAAACTGGTACAGGTTTGATACCAATTACTATACAACCCTGTACAGGGTGAAAGCATATTTAAACACATCATTGTCTAGGATCAGGATTGGAAACTAGTTATTTAGGCCTATTGTATGTATTGCACTATTATTATTATTGTATCAATCATTACACTGTGGCTGTTTTGTCTGTGTAAAGCTGCTGTTGCACTGCAATTTCCCTCACGGGATCAATAAAGTATCAATCTATATAAAGGAAATGACACCTGAAATATATTTAAAAAAAACTTTAAATGTACTCTAGATGTTTTACTAATCCGAATTGCTACGCACTTTTTACTGTTTAAGAAAGCAGAGTTTCTGAAAGCAGCCCTTTTATTTTTATAGCTGTTGTAGTGAAATAGCTGTGCTGGCTTCGATACCCCTCTTTTTATTCTGCAGCTTGTCATATTCTGGAATGCTGTGACGGCTTGGCTCAGGATGTCATTAGTACCATTGGGCAAGCTTTTGAACTTCGATTTCGGCAATACCTGCAGTGTCCTTCCAAGCTCCCCACACTTCATGACAGGTCAGTGTTAAGGCATACCCCTCTTATTACTTCAGCACACTTTTGATTATTAAGGCATAACACAGTTCATTTGAATTTCTCCCAGTGGCCAGCTAGATTAATTCGATTTTTATAAACATATAGTTAGAAAATGTGTACTATTAATGCTTTACTGGAACTTGCTTTCACATTTTTCACATCGAATACATTTTAATAAGACCTACATTACCATTTCAAGGTCCTTTTGTTTCTGATGCATTTCAGATAGTTATACAATTAAATATAAAATGAATACCATATTATATTCTTTTGTTGTACCCTGTAATATAGAGTACATGTACAGTATATCAACAATATTGTGTTATATATAAAAGCTTTGTATTTATACAAATATAGGTGTTTTATTTTATAGGTGTTTTATTTTATCTGAATGGTAATATCTAATGTGTAACTTAAAGACGTGAGACTGCTAATGTTTTTTTTACTCCATTGATTTTGTATGGTGATCGGGAACAGTAAGATGTTCGCTCACCGTTGATAACATTGGCCTTTTCTTATTTGAAACCTTTTTTATGTTTTCAGAGAGGCAGTAAAAGGTTGCCATTTACACATAGGTAAATTTAAAAAATTACATTTCTGCAAGGTCTGTTTCTAAAAGAGGAACATGACTCAGGCTTTATCTTTTACTATAACACAGGATGTTGAATGTGGAAGAGTCCCTGTGGACTGAAGAAGAAGAGGAAATGGCTGAGCATCCGTATTACAACAATATACCAGGGAAGATGCCTCCTCCGGGAGGATTCATTGACGCTAGACTGAAGAACCAGACATCCGGCCCAGCAGATGGCTCTCAGGTGTGTTCTTCAATCATGTTTCTCCAAAAAAACAAATCGCTTTCTGAGCAACAGGCCAACACAAGTTGAGAAACTGATACATTTGAACTTTGCTAATGTTGTTGATCAGACGGAACACCCCGCTGCTGTGTAGCTGTTTTATTCAGGAAACTGAAAAGAGAATATGTACTGTAACAATGTTCACCAGCACTCTGCAATGGCCCTACTTTCAGAATCTTTCTGAATGATTTGAGCACATGTAGTGTTGTGCATCCCCCCTCTCTGTTAGTCCTTGGGACAAGAAGGTTTTTCTGCTTCATTTCTATTCACTGTTTTTCCAGTGTTGTTCAGAAAGCGTTTCCTTATAGTCTGAATGAGGAAACTGTGATGAACAGTTTTGGTCTGGGTAGCTAAATTTCTCTGCACAAAACAAATCACGCATACAAGTTCAAACTACGGCAAATCACTTTTTAGCGATGAGTCATCCTTCAAAGTGCTGCCACCTTTTAATGTTTTTAATAAGGTCTTCTCTTAAAGGTATTCTGATTACTTTCTTCATAGCCTAACACAGCAGCTGGAATAGACCAAACATACTACCAAGGAAGACACTATGGGGAAAATCAGAACGAGGACAAGAAACCTGCTCCAGTCCGGCAAGGTAAGAGCCCTTTCTCAGTTATGGCAAAAGCAATTCACACGAGAGACGATAGATGCTGCACACCCAGCAAGACTGCAGCATTGGGCCAAGTTAATAGCCTCTTTTAAAACCTTTTTGTATTTCTGGGAGCACAAGACAAAACAATCCAACAAACAACAAAAAACGCGCATTCAAAGAATCCGAGTTCAGGCACTAAAAGAGACAATGGAAGTTAATCTTGGCCTGATTTTGACAACTGACCACAGGGTTTTTCACACTAAGAAGGTGGAGTCAGCATTCTTTTTCCGGCTGCATGGATGTCCCCCAGGCAATCTGGTTTTCTCCCATTTTTGAAAGACCTGCTAACTCAATTAACTAGGGTCTCTATACTCCTTCTGTGTGCGCCCCTTTGATGGAAAGGCATCCAGGGGTTCTGCGGCCCTATATTGGACTAAGCGTCTAATGACAGTGGATGGACAAGGACTGCCTGGAAAGAGCACAGTTGAATTTTAGGGTTTTGTGAGAATGCTGTACAATCAGATGGTATGCATAAGCCATAATTCTTTTTTTTCTTTTATCTAGGATCCAGTGATATATATGGTCAACCTGAAGGAAAACCTCAATTACCAAAAACTGGGGATGTCCCGACCTATGTTAACACTCAGCACATAGATGCCCAGGTCCTGGCAGCCCTGCAGGCAGACTCTGACACTGTGATCAATGGAGCAGCAGGGGTTGCCAAAGATAGTCCTAGGAAAGACATATTTGATATGAGTAAGTAAAGTTATACCATCTAATTAAGCTTGCAAGAAATAATTAGAGCAGTGACAAAATAATTGTCCTATCTAGATCTTTTTTATGCTTAATTGTACCTTTTCTCATTTCAGTACAAAAGATTAAGACTTCTTAAGATTCCCCATTGCATTAGCAGGAGGCACTGTTCCTTTAACAGAAGTTTAATAAAAGGTTTAATTTAGGAACTGTCAGCCTTGAGTGGTATAATCAGGCTGTCAACTAGAAACAATGCCAGAGTTCAGACTTTTCAGTGTATGCAGTGTGGTTTGTGAGTTCAGACATTTTCAAAAAATGTGTGCACCCTAAGCTCTTGTGAAAGGTGTACAGTATGTAACATGAGAATCATGGGAAATGTTATCTCTTTTAAATCTAAAAGTGAAATAAAAACTGTTGATTTATTTTTTGGTATTAATTTAACATGGAAGCTATTGAGCATTCAGAAGTTATCATTAAAGGTGATAAAACCGAAGAAAATATTTTTGGATTCACTTCTGTGCAGTTGTCTAGAAACAGGTGTCACGCAGCGCTCTCTAGTGGTGAGATTAGCACTCAACACCTCGCTCTTTTTTTCTCTTTCAGAAGCAAATATCTGTAGGATTGGTGAATAACATAATTTTGGGGGGCATTCATTAGGGATGCAAGCTTTCATTTCTGTTGTTAGGCCTGGCTTTGGAACCACTAACGCAAACTGTCGTGTCAGTTTAACATTTCTGCTTCTCAACACTGCATATCACTGTATCCATCTGTCAATTTTCAACCCACCGTGACCCTCTCTGTGACTCTGCAGGTTGTCTTAGCAAGGAACAGGTGTAAGGCAGGGTATGCCAAAACATACCACGCCAGTCTCTTGCTGGGCACACATACAGACAAAAACACACACACTCACACCAGGGCCAACTTTCGCAGAAGTCAATTAACCTACCACAGTCTTTGGACTGTTAAAGAACAGCGGAGAAGCCAGAGGAAACCTGCATCAACACAGGGAGAACATACAAATGCCACACAGCTAGTATTTCAGGTCAGGAATTTAACCCAGGACCCCAGCACTGCGAGGCAGCAATGCTAACGACTATGTAACTATGCCACCCACATCACTGTATGTGGATGAGTTTTCATAAAGAAAATGTTTCCTAATTTCTGGCTCTTCTGCTAGGTATTTTTGAGGATTTTGTTGATCTTTCAGGGCATACACTTAATTGAGATCAAGAGTGAGAGAAAGCACCAGAAAAGATGCATTACAGCTTCAATCTACAATTGCAAACACCCCCAGCAGTACCAGCAGTTCGGTTGTCCAGTAATATACACCCTTCACAATTTAACACTAGCATGCAAGACAGAGCCTACATCAGGACCATCAGAGCCATCTAGTGGAATGCCTTCGCACTAGACTCCAGGTTTTAAAATTCACATTCTGCCTGAATATCTGGCCTTTGGAAATCTGCCGGTGTCAGTACCTTTGTTTTCCTTCCCATGGATTGCTGCTTTTATGTTTCCTGCAGAGCCCTTTGAAGATGCCATCCGAAACCAGGGCCAAGGCCCTGTTTTAAACAAGGCCGCCTCCGTGGACAACTCAAGCCCCCTCCTGGTCAGAGCAACAGCCTTCAACGTGAACGAAGAGCTGAGCTCACAGCTGTGGTACCACAGAGAAATGAGCAGGAAGGAAGCAGAGCAGCTGTTGAAGGTGGATGGAGACTTCCTGGTCCGGAAAAGTACCACAAACCCTGGTTCCTATGTCCTGACAGGAATGCACAACGGCCAGGCCAAGCACCTTCTTCTGGTAGATCCGGAGGGCACAGTGAGTATTTTTTGGATTTATGTAATATTTTTGAACAATTTATGTATATACAGTAAATTTCATTTAATCGGTTAATCTTTTAAGCAGTTTAAATCTATTTTACTGCACTCCTACATACTCTTTAAACTCTGTAAATGTTCTAATTTATCCACTGTGTATACAGAGAAGATGTTAGATAAAATCATGTTTAGCAAAGGTTAATAAGTTCTGTAATTTTTTACAGAACAACAAACAGTTGTGAGTTTTTTTTGTGTGAATAAAATTCTGGACATGAAGTTAATTTATTACGGCTAAAATGATTATCAATGGAAAAAAAGTTTTTATTACAGCTATTATATTACTCACACCCGCACTAATACGTTTCTGAACATTGCTTAAAATCTTTGGTAAATCAATTTGAATTAAAACATTTGCATTTAATACTTCATAAATATAGCCTTGGCTGAAACAAAGGTATGTGGAAAATAGAAATTAGGCATATAATTTATCAGAAAAAAAACTGTACCAAGGAAAAAGGAGGTCAATTATCTGGAGATAGTTTTGATTGGAAAATACTTGGTGAATGTTTAGTTTAAACCCTTCATCTTAGATGCGTTCAAAGCATTGAATGTGTAGTGTTTGCTGTATTTTAATGTTAATTAACACTTAGTATTATCAATAATGCAAATTATGAATTCAAAAGGGATGTGTTTCTATTGAAAAAACAAGTAAAAAGTAACTTTTTTCAAATCAATCTTGTATGCCAGCGATTTGTTTCTATGCATGACTCAAAGGTCACTGTGATATTTCAGTATCTGAAAATAAGTAGTTTTTGTTTATACAAATGTCCTGTCAGATGTTCTGTGGGAAGTAATACAATCTTGTCATACTGTACGTGCATGTCCCACATGTTGGCAGAATGTTCTTCCTCTCATTCACTTGAGTGAGGGGGTAGAGTTTGGCGAGGCAGGTTTTGATAGTTTGATAGCAAGTGTTTACTCTTATCTTTGTATCACAGCAGCCCTCAAGAAACCATAAAACATTTAAAAAGCATTAATATCACTGTACTAATTTTATATGAATAATATTATAATGCTAATAATAGCCCCACAGAGCGGTGCAGTGTTTTGCACTGCAGTCTGATAACGCCAAGTTTCTGGCTTTGATTCTCACCTTTGCCACCTGTATGGGAGGTGTCTGTGTGTTCTTCTTATGTAGGTTTATGTTAGCTGTTGCAGTTTCTAACCAACTCCTTAAAACAGCCAAGTGAAAAGTGACCAGCTACTCTAAAATGCTACCCTGCCCTGGGATTGATCCCAGGTTGCTATTAGCACAACCAGAAATGCCAATAATGGCATGATATGTCATATCCTGATGGTTTCTGGAACGTAACAGGCAACCACCATTTAATGTGACCCTACTGTATACAGTATTTGGTTAATTTTATTTCTTACAAATAGTGGTGCTGTAAGTATTCAAGTGAGTTTTATTTCAACATGTTCTACTCGCAGCTAAGATTTTATATGTTAACCAAATAAGCCAAGGAATGTAGATATAATAAACAAAGTTGTTTTAAGCATTGACATATGCATTGCTTTGATGCTAAAAACAAAGTTTTGGGAGTTTACTAACAAATAGTAGGACACACTGTTCATTCACTCAGCCAACTGAGCTGCTTAATCTCTTTCCTGCCACGAGGTCTTGAGCGCACATTAAAAATAACTCCACCAGTAAACTACATGGGATTCTAACATAGTTTGTGATTCCTAAGTGTAGTGCAAAGATATACAGAACCAATAAAGATACATTTCCTGAGCTGCTAATACTATATGAAGTGTAAGAGGAGTGGGCATGGGGACAGTGTTGCCCATGCCTTTTGATTCTAGTGCCTGGCTTACTAAGAACATTTATATTTGAAATAATACAGATGTGCTTAATTGTACCTAAAGAGTGAATGTTAATTTAATCACAAGGATTTAAAGGTGATATATTAAACAACACACATACCCCCCTCCATTTAGACTTCTTAAGAAAAAGAAATCCAGGGAGCCTTTCCTTTTGCTTTTGCCTTGGAAAAATGTCCCTTGTTTTGTGTTTTTTTTTAAAGACAGAAGGAATATCTGTTATGAGATCTCTGAAAGACTGAGTCATGGCAGCTTAACTACGGCTCATCTCTGTGATATTACCATCTTGTAAAAACATAGAACTTCCAGGGCAGACACAATCACAGATCCACAACAGAACTGTGAGAAAAGGAAGAGATCAGTTGTTTAGTGGATTTGATGTGGTTATGCATAAAACGATCATATATATTTTAACAATAACAAAAGTTCTTTATATATATATAATGCTTACAGTATATGCTTTATATGTGCTTTTCCTTCCAAAGGATCACATAGTGCATAGTACAAATAAGATGGGGACTCACTTCATCCGCCACTGTAATGCAGCACCCATCTGGGTGATTCTTGGCAGCCAGCTATTATGTTCTTCACTATACAGAGGATCAGACAGCAAATTAGCCAGGACAGTGGGGTTAATTGCAAATTGCAAATTGAAATAAGAAATCCAGTCATTTCCTGTAAGTCGTGTTATAAGCAACTCTCTGTCTTTTTCTTTTTTGAAGGTACGGACTAAAGATCATGTATTTGACAGCATAAGTCACCTAATTAGCCATCACCGTGACAACAACTTGCCAATAGTCTCTGCTGGAAGTGAACTCTGTCTTAAACAGCCAGTAGCAAGAAAACAGTGACCAATACTGTAGCTGGATGGGGGTATATTCTTTCTAACCCTGGAAATGTGCAGGCAAAGAAGAAAAAAGAGAAGATGGCTTAGGAAGACCGTGTCTTTTACACGCTATCCGGATTCCAGAAAGGAAGATGTTAATCCAATACACAGAATTTATAGAACTGTGATTATTTTATTGTGATTATTGAAAATATATATTTTTCAAGACAAGAAGACATATAGGTTTAATGAATAGAAATTGATTTGGTGTTGTTTAAAAATTGAAACTGTTAAAATGTTTAGATTAACTGACCTCACTGAGGAAAAGAAAAAGTAATTTAGAATAACATGAAGTTCTAGATTTGTCTGACAAGCACAACCAGATTTACATATTTGTTGGTTAACGTTGGACGAAAACAAATGTAAAAAAGCAGCTAGTGTTTTAAAAATTTAAACAACAAAAATATTTAATACATGCAGCTAAAGTAACAGTTAATTTGACAACAGCTTCAAATTACTGTTAATTCTGCTTTAAAATACTTTTTAAATCACAAAATATTTTAACTTCTCCATATACTTTACTCAGTACTCTGGACTTGTTTAAAAATGCAAAATGCTGCAAAATTACTAGAGAGTACGGACATCTGTCACTGAAGTCGCATGACTTGAAAATAGTTTTTGTGGTAATTGTTTGTAGTCTTTTAACCCTTTGAGAAGTGTTTGTGTATGCACATTGTGTAAAATGTTAATGTTTTCTCTCAGTCTGGCTCCATCTCAAATTTTCTTTTAACTTGTATATTTTCTTAATTCAATTAACAATTAATGTACATTAATTAGGATGTTAATTACCCAGAATGGGTTGATAACAAAAACAAAACAATATCTGTTTCAGAGGAAGATGAACTGCAATGTACAAAATAAAAGACTGTTAAAGAAAAGAAAGTTTTTATGTTCTACACACAGTTTATATGATTGTTTCAGGATGTTTTCGACAAGAGTCTTTCTTAAGCCATACAGAAGGAAAGATCAGAGCAGTTCATTTATTGTTATTCTAAAGATTCTGTACATGATGTGATTATGTTAGAATAGAATGTTTATTCCAAGACCTTACAAAGAGCTCAGTTTGAAGATCAGATCCAGTTTCTTTGTGGAAAGCTCTTAAGCACCAACACTGAATTACACTTCAGTACTTCACAGATGGTAAAGTCTTTAGCAATGTGCTTGTAGCTACTGAAGTATCGGGCATCTGTAAATTATTTGGTTATTTGTTTTAATGTTTCATAAAAGTATCATGAAGCAGTAAACTATTTTCGTTTGTACCGGGTACAGTTGCATTTTTCTGGTGGTAATGCAATTACTCCTTTGGATGTGCATGAACTGGGGTGGTGGTTGATGATTGATGATTTAGAAACTCTCTGTTCTCTGTGTGTGTATTAGCATATTTGCACATGGCACATTTAAGGCTATTACAATGAAAAGTGCCTTTATATCACTGTAAAACAAGTTCTCTTAGCTTCTTGTCTTTTCTATGTATGTCAGTGCTGTGGAAAAAAAGCATCCTGCAGACAAAACAAACATGGACTGATCTTTAAACTAGGTACTTTGGAACATCTTCAGATATACAATCTACTCTTTATAAATACAATCTGTTATTACACCATCAAAAGATCATGTACAGAATTTCTGAACAACAGGATTGCTGCACTAACTTTACCTTTTCTTCTATACAGCTGAAGAATTTTTGACAAATTATTTTTGATTATTTAAACTGGGGGTACCACACAGAAACTTTCTTTTCCTTTGCAGCATATAATATATCCCAGGGTAGATGCTGATACAAGAGCCACACTTTTTTCATATTTGTTCTGCATATTCACTTCAATCAAAGGGGTTAAATAATTAAAGCAACATGATTTAACTTACATCTGCTTTCAAAATAGGATTTATTGTTATTAAATACCCACATTCAATGTTTAAATCAAATATACATTTATAATTATTTTTGTTAATTATGTATATCTGGGTAAGTCACGTTTCTTGGTCTTTGTATAACATTCTATAGACATCTATATCTGTGTATATATTTTCTGTAGAGCACTCTGCCTGGCCATCCGTTAATCTGAAGCAATTTAATTTGTGCCAAATTAGACTGAGAGTAAAATTATTCAATATAAACAAAATTATGCTTTATTGGTTTGTATCCACTGCTTACAGCATTCTTTCTAGGGCAAGACTTGAGCTGAATACCACTATACAAACATGCAAATTTTAATGTAAGTGGCAGGTTCAATTTGTTTTTTATCTATATAAAAAGCTTTCAATAGATAACTACAGTATAGTAGTTATCTATTTTCTGTAAAGGTAGAGGCTCATCTATGGAAAAAGACAAACATTTTTTAGGAATAATAAAACTGTAAGCTGACTTGGTCAATGAAAGATGTTGTCAAGCTATGCCTGCAAGCTTGTCTTTTCTCATTACTGCATTTTTACAAACATTGTTTCTTTGTTGCATACAGGAGAAAGTATTAAAGAGCTGCTGAAGGGAATCTTTTACTTGTGCAATATGAAATGAGCTGGGATTATGATTAAAGACAGTGATGATGCTGCATTTGCCCCAGCTCAAGTGCTGCCCAAATAAAGGCTAATACCTCAGTTGTTACAAAGAGAAACCTTTCACTTGAGAATAGAGTCATCAAAGCCACATTACGGGAGCTTGTTTTTCCTTTTTGTAGTGTTATGGATTGTTGATGGAAAGATAAATATATTACTATCTTCAATGAGTACAATTTCATTCCGCATTTAATGTCTCTTTTGTGGGTATTTGTTTTTTGAGCCTTTCATATGCAAAGGTAAGAGGAGGGTTTGTTGTTACCTTTAATACTGCACCTTTGAACTTGAAAATAAAACCTGTTGTTATAAAAAAATGCTTTAAAATGGCAGCTCATTAGCTATAACTGGACACAAATTGATGTTACAAGAATTACTTCAGATGGGGCTAACATCATTTGTGGATGATGGAAACCAATGCCAAACTTAGCTGGGATTTCCTTCTGACAGTAAAAGTAGTTAATTTGGCACAAGTACTTGACTTGATTTTTTTGCATTTGAAAATCAGCTGCCCTCTATTTGCAAGACAAGGTCTCAAATGTAATTATGTGTTTTTTTAACAAATAGATAATGCCAGTTTTCTATGTTATCAAAAAAACGTGCCTTTTCTATGTACTTACAGTGTTCATTCTAATTAATACCATGGCAAACCCTAAGTGGAGTTCGGTCATGGGTGTTTTTCTTTATTTGAGGTAGTTATTCAGTGCTAAAATGTTACAGCATGAGATTCAGCAGTCACTTCTCTTTCTTCTTAGTTTTCTATACTGAAATTGAATGATGCTACAATGAAATCACACTCAATGGGTTTTGGAATAAAGGGTAACAAAATGTAATTTCCTGAAGATGTTTACAGATTTGATCCTTGATTATTTGAATTACCATAACTCTGTATGACTGTTGGCAATAAAACAGCAAATGTGTCATTTTTCTGCTGCATTTCTGTGTGTTTTCATTAAATGTTTGCATGTCCAAACTACTCCAAGTTTTCCATAAATTCCAAGTTTCAAAAACAAAACCTTTAATTTCTGCTGTACTTAATCTCTTGGACCACACCTACTAAATAAGTGGCACAAGATTTTGAATACTGATAATTCAGCTAACCACGAAGATCACAGATAATCTAAATGTGCCAAGGCCTGGGTAGAATGCATGGCGGATATACGAAGTGACAAGATCACATATTTTAAATGGACAATGTTCAGTGTTTTTGCTTCATATTTTGTTTTAGAGAGAAATTGAAATATCTGGAATACTGTAGGAGAATTTCACCAGGAATTCATTTGAATGTCAATTAATGCCTATCAATCTTTTATGGAAATCTTTTGTGCAGGAAACATTCCATTAGATCAGAAAATCACCAATACAGCTTCCTTTTAGTTTCATGGTCATGGAGTCTATAATAAGGAGTATTAGAATAGTCTATCATTGTGGATTATTAAAAAAAAGTAATAACATCACTTAGAACAGCTAGCATTTTTGGAGATAATGCAGTATCATGATCATATCAATTATCATTATTTGTTGTCTTATTAAGCTTTTTCTTTGGGTTATAGAATTCATTACTGCTATAGTGTAAACTATTGCCGCACTCAGACAGCATCTAGACAGACCCCTTTGCAGTCCAGTGACAACGGTGATAACAGACAGACTATAATTAAAACAAATACTAAATACTTAAAGCAAAAGGTTGTTCTCTATGACATGATAGGGCAAGGAGGTTTATGTTAAGTGCATTTATGTTGACATTTCAAATGTGCATGTTGCTTGTAACCACAGTCATTCAATTTCTTCTTTCGTTGTCAATTCTATCTCAGACTGTTGACTTCATTCCTTTTGATTTCTACAGTGATTTAACAGCACTAATTAAGCTACCATCAATTAAGCTACAGTTGTTATAGAACTGCTCTAATTTGCTGGCCTTAAATTTACCAATTAAATTGCACATAAGAATTTTGGCTTGAGATTGATATGTTTAGAATAAAGACACATAACTTAGATTGTTTTCATTGTCCACAGGCATTGTTTTATTTGGTTGATTGGAAAGTACTGAGTGTATCCATAATTTCTAATGATGTTTTCTGTACACTAGAATACCATAAACACTTTTGGCCATTTAAAAGATTATTCATTAGAAATTATGTAAAGTAAGGGTTACAAACCACTCTTGTTGGTGCGTAGGATAATAAAAAATATTTTAAAAGCCAGTGAGTTTAGCATGTGTTTTTATAAGTACATTGCTTGATCACACTGTTAGCCTTAATGAACACATTATTGGCTTTAAATAGATATTAATAAAGAAATTACTACTGTAGCTTCTGAACATAATCCTTAATGTAAATCATAGGAAACAGGTATTACAAAAAACTACAAATATTGTCTTCTGAAAGATAGAACTGATCTGCATTAAAGGATCATTCATTTTTATGGTTTAAAAAAACAGCTAAACACTATTAAAACTAGTCCGTTCTAACTAATAAGTCCCCTTCCTAGAGCTTTATAATTGCTTCATGCAGTTCTAACATATAGTATACACATATATATATATACAAACTACTGTAGCTTATTACATATACTGTAGTTATATACAGTAAATATACTGTATGTAAAATGTACTGTAGTGATTACTCTGCAGTTATATCACTTACTATTCATTATTACATACTATTCTATCTACAAAGTGACTTATCAAACACTTTCATTGTGTTATATTTAACACAATTGAGTCTAAGAATAATTTTCTCTTTAGTATGTTGCAGTTCTAGGCTTTCCCATCACATAATGAACCAAGATTCTTCTATGTACTCATACTGTACATAAAACAAGAAAATAGAATTTAATTACAATAAAATATCTGTGATGAGACCTACAGTAACCCCCAACTCACCAAAAAGTTTGAATGTATGAATGGAAAAATGTAGTTTTGATTAATCCCAATAATAATAGAATAGAAAATGGTTGCAACATTTTCAAGTTGTGCAGTAACTCCAAGTAAAGGTATGTAGGTATGTAAAACAATTGTATTTTTTAACTTACTTAAACCAAAGTTTGCACCACAGTAAAAAACTTTTGGTAGTCTTGTCACAGGGATTTGTTAAATGTGTTGTCTAGCCAAAGGGATATAGCTTTCAACACTTTGCTTAATCATTGCAAAAATTTTACAAGTTATATCTGGCCATGAAAAATGCAAATACACAAACTGCTTAAAAGGTACCATTTTTTATAAATTCTACTAACTGCCAGCTGTGTTCACTAGAATATTTCATTGTGGTAAATGCTTATAAGAACTTCTTATGTGAAAGAGGGTTTCTAAGTAACCACATGAACTACTATATTACTATATTTATTATAAATAATAAATTAGGATATTTACATTTATCTTAATAAAGGCAGAAAACTTTGCAAGGACAAATAACATTGTTTCTAATGGTGGAAGCTACAGTTCCAGTAGAACAGTAATATGCTCAATGCTCAGCCTTTTGGTGAAGGTATGCAAGGTTATATACAAAATCACAAAGCATTTCATTCTTAAACCTTTTATGATATACACTGATTTTGTGATGCTTTGGAATTTCTACCCAAAAATTACAAGCTGTGATATAAGTAAATTCTGGATTACATGGGTCTTTCTTGTTGAAACCCTAACCTTAAGTATAAAATCTTTACTTCCTAATGTAAGAACTTATTTACATACAGTATACAATTTACTGCATGATACTGATCGGAAATAAATCTCTCTCCATGTTAAGTGGCAGGCCTGCCTTTCTCCTGCCTCATGAGCAAACTGCCAAGCAAAATAGCAGTGACTTCATCACGAATCATTGATATTACCCGTTTTACAACGTACCCAGTGACCTCTCACCAATAACACACAATACAGTCATGGCAATGTGCATAATACTGTAGAATACACCTTTAAGGCACTCTCAGAGATGAGCAGTACCCACCACCTGCTGAATAACAAGAAAAACAACTTTCCTGATGTCACTTATTGGCAGAATTAAGTTTGTGTTATTGGAGTTTTTTAAGCCTCTCATTTATATCCTCAACACTTTTATCTCCACTTCTGTTTGGAACAATATGATGTCCTTTGTATTCTCTGTATTCGCAGAAAATTCTCGCATAAACTAAAGCCTAAAGGAGGACTACATATTCCAAAGTTCAAGCTTGACTATTAGTTTATCAACGTACAGTACACTGTGCTTGACACTGGCAACCTTCAAGCTGCTCATTGGATTTATCTGAATGGCTCTGTCTAGAACGTGGTTCTTGTAAACAATACTCCCGGTCTGTTCTGTTACATGGTGCTCTTCCATTGTGTGTATTCCAACCATTACACCAACACAGATGATATATATCGGTAACAATTTTGACTCTTTTGAACAGCTAACACAAAAAGCTGGATTGCAACATATACTTTTGATCATGATGATTAATTTCAAAAGCTAATTTGTCGATTCCAATCTAACACTTAACTCTTCACCGAAATGTGATCTGTACCTAAAGCTGATTCACAGTGCATCACTAAGTTGGTTTCATCTAATACTGTAAAAACTATATGGGACCAAAATAGTGGATCTGACATCTTTAAGTACATTCCTCCTACCTCGATTTTCCATATTCTAGACTGTTTAGTTCTATATCAGCTAAGTGTGCTGGTCTTCCCTTTTTTGATACTTTCTTTTTTGTTGCCTCCTTTGGAGTTGCACCCAAAGGAGTTGGGTTGTCTAAAACGCAATGCAGCCTATTAGCTGGATGTTACATTTTATACTGGTGGAAGGATGCTGACCCCTCATTTGAATGTCCGTCTTATCAGGTTATCTTGTGTTTCTAAACTGAACCTTACAGAAGGTAGCAGGTCTATCCTATTCTGTTTTGATTCCCCCGCACTCTCCTGACCTTCTACATGCACAGCATGGTATGCCTTGTCTCCGTTACTCTCTTGCTTTCTCTTTAGTCCTTTTTTATGCAAACTTATTTGTATCAATGCAATTGCATTTTGTGTTTTTATCCCATATACAGCACTTTTCAAAATTTAAATGAAAGAACAAAATTTGTAAAAAGGCAAGAAAGGAAATATAAAACAATGGAAATTGTTTTTGGTTATTGGTAACTATCAATCTTAAAACTGCAAAATATTTACACAGTTCGTACCAAAAAGGCCTTTCAGAAATGGTGCAGAGCAAAAGAAAGTAAATTGTAGACAATTATGAAGGGTTACGAATAGCACAAATTTTCTCATTTATGCACAGTCATTGAGTTTGTCAATTACAGATCGTAACCACACCCTCAAAAAAATCACAGCCATGGTTATAAACCTAATAATACTTAACACAATTAAATGCCCATTGTTGTCATTTCAATGTCTAATTTCCCGTAGTGTTCTCACAAGTATTAAGGCTTGACGTTATAGGTCTTCCTCCTTTGGTTTTGCCAGCACAAGTGTGCTATTAAAGTTTAATAATCCCAAAAATGAAAGGGCGAAACGTGTCAGCATTCATTACCATTTTGTGAAGGGTGGGGTTTTGTCATCGAAGGTCCCACAGTAATTTCAGGACTTTCCCCATCTGGTATCCTTTGGCAATGGCTGCTGCTGGACTTGCTCCTGCTGTTGTCAGGCGTGGGCTGTATGGGGAGGTTCTTGGCTGCTTTGCTTCGAATTAGGCAGCCACACACCAAGCGGAAGAAAGCACGCCGCATTTCCTTACTTGCCAGTGTGTAGATGATGGGATTCATGGCTGAATTCAGCACGGCCACAGCAATAAACCAGTCGGCTTTGTACAATATGGAGCACTGCTTATGCTCACAAGCAACATCAATCAGCAGCAGAACAAACAGCGGAGTCCAGCAGGCAATGAAGACTCCAACAACAATGATAACTGTTCGCAACAGGGCCATAGACCGTTCCGAATTGCTGTGCTTAGTGACTTTCTGACTGCTAGATTTGACCAAAGTGTAAATGCGGGCGTATAGTATAGCAATGGCAACCAAAAGTGCCATGAAGATGATGATGCAGAAAGCGACGTATTTCTTGCTATAAAGAGGTAAGACGGTGGAACAATCAGGCAGGTTGTCAGTGCAGTTCCAGCCAAGGATAGGCAAGGCACCCAATGAAATGGCAATCAGCCAACAGGCACCAATCAGGAGAAACACTCTGTATTTCTTATTGGCATCATAAGGCCTCATTTTAATCATGGTCATGTGCCTTTCAATGGCAATGGCCAGTAAACTTAACGTGGAAGCCCCCAGTGCCACAAACATGCTTCCTTCCCGCACAAACCACACCGTTAAAGATAGACTAAGCGTCTTTTTTCCGGACATGAGTATGTTAGTTATGTAGGCAACTCCAGCCAGTAGATCACAAAGTGCTAGATTGCCAATGAAGAAGTACATGCGGTTGTGGAACCTGTGGTTTTTCCATATTGCAATTAACACCATTAGATTCTCCAGGACTATGAAACTGCATATTACCAGGAAAGCAATGCTTGTTGAGCCCATTCCTTCAGTTCTCTCCTCACGGTTTTCAAGCTTCCCTACGTAGTTATAATGCTGAACAAGAATTTCGTTCCTGTATTCTGAATTCATCTCCATAGCTGCAGCAGGGGGCAGTAGGGGAGAAGGCATCTTTGTTTCAAGTTAATTCCTTGTTGAAGCCGATAGAACTAAGCAGTTGCATCTCCCTTCTACAGAGCTGATGTCTGGAGTTGCATGCAGTCCCTTGCTACTGTATTTCCAGATCTGTGAAAGAAAAGGTGACATTATTCACCGTTTAGAGAAGTTTCGCTCTAAGGATGTAACAAAAACCAACTGATAGGTGCAGCAGGCGAACGTTATGCGTGTCAAACAAATTAAATGAAGGGTGGTGTGTATTTTATAACGCAAGTACATAAATGTTTTATAGCAGAAGAGCTTTCACTTTGCAAACATGATGGAAAGTTTTCTTTTAAAGCTTGAAGGTATAGTACCACTTTTATTTTAGAAATACAGGGATGCATAAGCAGCACGATGATATGCGGGGGGGACTTCATGCTGAGGTATGGTTACTCTTTTCGAATCTTTAAAAGTAATTTTCAATAATCTTCAAGCTTTCATGTTATTGGAGCAATTAACTATCAAAGGACATCGCAACCACAGATGCGATTCGTAAAGATATGGAAAAAATAAATTTGCCGTTTGTAAATGAAAAGAGCATCGACAACATAATCACAACAGCAGCAACGCCACCTCCAAAACTAGCACTGCTATTATTATTAAATATAAGAACAATTATAATAATAATATTTACTCCTATTGCCAACTTATTTTATGGACACAGCCCTAAAAACCAAAGTAACCTGTTTTTATTGCAAAAAAGACAGTAAAAAATTGTATCAATAGCTAGAATAATAGAAACATTCGTCTGCTTACCAAACATATTAAAGTTTTACACAAATATATTACCACTAATACATATCATACCGTTAATTATAAACCTGACAAATCGTTAGCTTTATAAATATAAATCGCCCTTCCTTCCAAACATTAAAATGTAATTATGTACCCCTTAATATAAGGAACATTTATATCAAATAGTTCAGATATCCGACACACCACGTATATTCATTATTGATTTTTCTAAAGGATGAAGGCAATGATTTCAATTACAAAATGACCACATGTGAATGTAGAATAACAGAACAAAAATATATTGATCTCGTCTTCTTCTTCCTGTTATTGTGTTGTAAAGTCAAAGCATTATTTGAACTTTTATTGTCCCTTGATCGAATACTTACTTGATTGTCTTGGATTTCATATACCAGATTTACTTGCTCAGTTGGTTTTACGCTCCCAGACTGTATGGTCTTCCCATTTGAAATCTTGTTTATAAAATCCGTGTTTCATCACATAAATTACCGAAGCAAGTTTCTTCCTAATGGCAAAGTCTGAATTCCTCGAAATTACTTTTACTCTAAGCTCACATCCCCTTATGTGGTGTAGTTCAGCTACAGTACTTTAAAAATACGCATCTACAGTGCATTTGCAGCACTGCTAAATCGCCTTCTGCTTCAATGAAAGGATCCACAGAAACTTTCTGAAAGTTAATCGCCTCCCAATATTCCCATATGAAATGACTAACACGCCTTTGTTATGACGTCTAAGGGTGTGTTAAATTTATCCTGCAGGGGGTATTGAAAAGCAGAAGTCAAACTATAAGAGTAGTTCTTCAACACTTTAAAATAGGGAATTTCCACTCGGAAGGTTCAGATCTACTTTTTTTAGACAGTTCAGGCTAATGACACTACGCAGTGTCTGATGTATGCTTTTATTTTCTGAATGGCTAGCACCCAAAACTGGACATATTGCAGTGATCGTTAGATCACATTATACAGATATAATTAAGTAAAAAAAACAAAGGCTCAAATTATACTACGCAGAACTTATACAGTACATACTGTACAGTATAAGACCTGTAGGATTGCTTTAACGCGCTGTATGAGATAAAGTTTATTATTTTTAATTAAGATGGAAATAATGAAAGTCGCGTAATAATCAATCACAACTATAGTAAACATAACGTAAATGCAATATAAAAGGGTCCAATCGAATAAATTAGCCTCAACTCGTCACCTGAGGAAACTTTGGGTGTCTGTTGCGTGACAAAGCTACGTTCATCATGTAGGCCCCCAATTTGACATACAAGGTTTATTGTTGTTGTTGACCTTGCATTTTCTTTGCTCATCTCAGGAAATTGAATCCTCAAGCATACGTTACAGACTATTATGGGAAATCGTTTTGTAATGGCAAACCATTGATTGAAACCTGGCTATTAGCACCTAGACTTATATCAAGGTTTTATTGAATTCCATGTTAACGATGTTTTCAAAGCACTTAGTGCTCTTTTTCTCGTGCGATCATTTTTTTCTACTTAGAAAAGAAAAAAACAAGAATTGCGCACAATAAATTGAGTGAAGTGCAGGTATAGTTCAGAGCATTTCGTTATAAATTGCATCGTCATCTTAGGTGATTAAAATATCACTCCCATAGGAAGCCGTTTACCTGCAGTGGATGAGCACGAGTGAATTGATAAGTCATATAAATTAATACAATCTGCAATCAATTTTGGATGGTGGTGGAGGAGAGTCCCCATTGCCTGTAAAGCGGTCTCCAGAAAAAGTCAATATAAACGTAAGAAATTATTATTTCAATGCACTCTTTATGTTGTTGAAGTGTTGTTGTTGAAACGATACAGAACATACAATACTTGTAATACATAATAATATATGACATTTAAAATGTTGGGATGTCCAGGAGTATAGCAATGTCAGGATATAGTGTGATATATTTGTAATTGGGAGCTAATGTAAAAAAAATAAGAAAAATAACAGAAACAGCTACTTAAAAGTATTTCTAAATTATCTGAAACAGATTATTCTTTTCCGGTGGAGGTTTAAAGTATCTGTTCATGTGAATTAATGTATCATCTTGTTATGCCGACGTTATACTACACGATTTTCCTAGGATTTTTAGTCGTAGCATTCATTTACATAATCATATGAAAATCACAGCGAGTTGTAGAGAGTAGCAGCGCGCGCGCCCGTTGCCGTCAGTTGTGTTGTGTGACACCCCCAGCAACTCAGTCATAGCGCTCTCAATAGCCCCTATGACCAGCGAGTCGCAGAGAGAAACTGCTTTGATTTTCTCATAGCGAGTCGCAAGTCGTAGCGTTGGGCTCTTGTATCTGCGACAGTCAATAGCTAATGAGCGCTCAACCGCAAGTACAACGCAAACAATGCGGCTTCAAGGACAGTGTAGTAAAGTGATATAGGAATGTATAATGAATTCTCTATGAATTGGCTGCATTCCTCTGCTCTCCTCCCCACTGATATCTGATATGTGGTGAGCGTTCTGGCGCACTATGGCTGCCGTCGCATCATCCAGGTGGATGCTGCACATTGGTGGTGGTTGAGGGGAGTCCCCATTATCTGTAAAGCGCTTTGAGTGGAGTGTCCAGAAAAGAGGTACATAAGTGTAAGCAATTATTATAATTATTATAAATGTTGTAATTACATGTAATAGTCCACCAGGTGGCTCTGCCCATTTTCCAAGGTTATAGGAGTCATCCGGATGTTATAGTGTTGGCGCCAGAAAGATAGAGAGAAAACCGGAGAGAACTGGGGGACAGTTGGAGAAAGCTAGTATGAGAGAAAGGTGTCAGTTCGGTATTATTGTGCTGTACAAATGAATTTTTCTGTAATACATAGTTCATTTTTCCACACCCGCCTCCTTGTCATTCTTTGCTTCATGTGAAGATACAACAGAAAGAAGGAGAGCAAGTGTTTTGGACTGTGCAAATAGAGGAGAGGCTTGTCGAACTTTGGAGCCTGCACAGATGTCTATTCGATGTTTCGTGTTTGTCGTTTATTTACTTTCATGTGGTGCTCTTCCTCGTATTCCGAGGAAACTACTCCATAATACTGAAGACTGCAGCTGGAGAACTTTCATCATGTATAAAGTAATGCTGTGCACTTGATTTAAAGCATCCAATAAAAATCCAGTGGCCAGCCATGAAATCCCAGTGGTCTTTTCTCTGTACATAGGCTGGCTCCCAGGTTGTCCAAGTGCTCTGGAATTGGGAATGTAGATGGATGGATGGTTGGTAGTATGCTTACAGTTTTTTTATTGCAATACATTATTGAATACCATAGATATACTGTATTACCTAAAACACTTACACAATGATATTAAAAAGCCTATTAAAGAATCTTAGACCTAAAGATAATGCAAATTTATATTATTTTATTAGCTTTACATTATAAATTAAATGAAATAATCCATAATATTATGAAGTGGATGAGAGCAGCTGAGAATTTATAGTTGACACTCAGTCTCTATCACATTGGTGAGAAGATGTGGAGTATGTTTATGTAGTACAGAGGTGGTATAGGAGTATGAAGTACAGTAGCTATTGATGTTCTGTAGAAACTTTGCACAATGTCAACTACTGCATATTTAGAATGTAGCTATTTTTATTGTACGTGCTAAAATGTAAATTATATTTGTGTGATTTTCACAATAGATAAGTCATAGAAATACATTAGTAATGACCGACAATGCTTGCATTGACTGTGTGGCTGAAAACAGTGATATTGGTTCTTCTGTCCTCCCTATTAAATTGAATGTGAAATCTTCCTCAGATGGCATTGGTGACATGACTCCAGTCCTTTTACACGTCTTCTGCATGTTGTCCATGTATCAGCACTGCACAATGATGAGTGAAAATACTCACTTCCTCAGCTGGCCAAAGGCTGCTCTTGGAGAGTTCAGGTGATGCTGGATATCCACATCAACGTTTGCCTTCTCTGAACGATAATACCCAAACTATGAGAGATGCTCTACATTTGAAATGAATCTCAGTTTCAATCAAATGAATGGGTCCTGGGCATGTGTATCTGGAGTTTACTGGTGGAGAAGTATAGTCTTCGGAGTGTCTTAGTTCTCTCAAGGAACATACTGCATATTGGAGATTAATGACTGAAGTCATGGTGGCTTTAGTTTTGGACTGGAGTTTGCTGGAGGTTCAATACATTTTTCCACTCAGTAAGTCAATGGTTATCATCTTGAAATGCAATAATGGGTACAGTAAAAGAGAATAATTATTATGATTTACTCCACAAAACTAGTACACCTCTACACTAGCTATATTATCATGCATTTACTTTAGGACTGCATCAGGGCAAGCTAAAGAATACTGAAATACAGATTACTGTACAATAATTACCATTCCAAAGCACTTGTGGTCTAATTACTCCGTACTTCACTGTAAAAATCTTGTACTTCTTACTATGTGACTACAAAGGCTTTTAAAGTAAATATCAACATAGGTTTTGTATAGAAAGATTTTTAAAAAGGAAACAATTCAAATTAACAGACCATGCAATTCCTCTTTAGAGGAAGATAAACAGTGTCCCTGCAGAAATGCATTCAGTAGAAGTGTCCATTTCCTGGGGACTACATCTGATTTAGCTCAGAGCGAATAAAAACCACAAAGGAAGGACTGAACTCGAGCCACTCATTTATATTCTGTCTGCTTCAGACAGACATCATGATTATAATCACCATGTAGCACGTTCCAAAAGAGTCATAGCTAAAGGCATATGATGCTATTTATATTTTGTTTTCTGATTTCCTACTTAAAGCAAACATAAACAATGGTTAATTTATTATGTAGATCAGGAATACATATCCTGCAATCTGTTTATTTTCTGGTGGAGGCCCTCAGTAATTTATTACTCTCATCTAACTTATCAGTAAATGGCATTTATTCATCAAAGCTTTCACTTGTTTTAAAGCATTACTATTACTATGCAATAATTTACTATAAGAAGCTTTGAAATGAAACTTAATGTTGGCATCATATCTGCTATTAATATGTATATAGTAAGTTATTTTTATTGGTTCATCCCCAAAACATATCCTAGCCAAGGACAGTAATTCAAGGATTCTGATTAATTGCTGTTGATTGAATTATTTTGTTGTGGTCATCCCAGGAATCTGATAGCTGCATAGTTGGAGGACCAAAATGTATTTTAAGCTTCTTAAACAAAAGTCATGACAGTCTTTAAACAATAATACTGTAACAACAAAACTTCACACATTTTATATTTTGTAGGAACTGCAGATAAATTTGCAAGGTGAAGCAAAGCTACAGACCTTATTTTTAAACATTTTATATATATATATGTTACCTCAGTCATCTTATGGTATTTCACAGTGGGAACTAAATATAAACACAAAAATAATTAAACGTCTATAACAACTAGATCTTTTTAGTAGCTATCACAATATTCTGGGCATTTCTGGAAACAGAAACTGTATCACATGTCTATATATTGTCTCTATGGTTTGGTATACAGCCAGATACAGTGAATGAGGTTGAAAATGGGACATCATCAGTGAAGAGCAGATCGTATTTGTACTGTATATTTCTTAACTTAAAACTTTCCCTTTTTTAAAGACAGTTGGTTTTTAAAGTTTTTAAAGTTGGTTCTGTTATACAATTAAAAATACAT